CGACACCTAAATTTTGTGGCATAGACTAGTGAGTGCTCTCAGCTCTACATCCGTTGGACTTGCTGATCCATGGAACTGGAGTTGAATGCCTTTGGGCTGAGGCTTACTGGACTAGGGTGTCTTTAGGCACAAGTAAGGGAGCTGGGTTTGCTGACCCACGGAGCTTAAGTTGAATTCCTTTAGGTTGACGTTTATAACAAAGTGGTATTCCCTTTGGGTATTTATTAACAGGCTTGACAGACTTTTGTAACATGTCCTGATACACTATTCAACGCTGAGCATTTCTCATGGGCATTACAATTATTAACTTCCGTAATAAACCCTTTACTCATATATTATATTGGTGAGTTCTGCATATCCATTGCTAGCTTTAGAACTGAGAGATCAAGTAAAGAAGTAAAATAAGAACATTAATTAAATCAGCACATGTGTAATTGCCAATTTGTTTCACAGCTGGCCCCTGGCCTTGTGACTGATGGTATAGATCTCTTCCACTATCTCTTCCATTAATATCATATCTGTATCAGCAAAAAATAATAAGGCCCTCAATGTGATAGGATGACACAGTGGCTGCAACAATGAGCTCAGACCTAAGACAAACTGTGAGGATAACGTTGGACCTGGAAGTGTTCCCTTCTCTTTATACACAGGGTCATTGTGAGTCAAAACCGCCTTGAGGGCACTGAAAACCAACAATAACATGCTCCATCGGCTGAGGGCCACACCTATAGTCGTGATTCTTGTTTCTGAAAAATGGTATTTGCAAATTTTTGATCTTGCAAATTTCATCATATAATCTGGTATATATTCATTACCGAGGGCATCTCTTCAAGTTACTGATAGTTTCTTTTCATTTCCGCTTTTTCATTTCATTCACAAGTAACCAACAGTGCATCTTAATTGCACTATTAATCAATTTTAGACTCAAAATCAGTTCATGGAGTTCTTAAATTTCTTCTCTTCTTTTTATAGAGTTTTATTGGGATATATTTCCCTTAGCATATCTTTCAATAGTCCAATCATATTTATAGGAGCTGTACAATCATCTGCACAATCAACCTCAGATCATTTACTTCCTTCTTGTACCCATTCTCATCAGCGTCCCACAACTTTCCCCATCATACACTCAAGAAACCATTACTGCCTCTTACTCATTTTGGATTTCAGCTACAGAAAAGCACAAGAGCAAAGCAAACATTCTGTACTCTGCATGCTAGAAAGGCGATTCACATCCCTGGTCTGTGGTCAGAAGGGATTTACTGGAGGCTCAATCTATGTGTAGATGCTGTGAATTGATTTTGGTCCCCCACTGTCACCCAAAGCCTTACACAATTTTAATTCTGATGCTATTCCCTCCTTCGGGTTTGGAATTCTTCAATTTGGTCCTCATCTTCTTTTGTAATTGTTTTGCAGATTTGACTAATGGTTGTATGAATCTCCTGGGAAATATATAGATATTAGCTTATCACATACAGCATCATACTTCATGATACATCTAAACATAATCTTTTTAGGACTGAATACTACATCAGTCTTATTGAATGTGCCATTCCTGACCCAGTGAGCCATTTCATGGTAGGAGTAAAACCGCCCAACACCAGTCTATTTAACCTCACTGTTGCCTAGGGTACCACTCTTCATGCGTCCCATTTCATTTTTAATTACTTCTGATTTCCAACTCAAACTTCATACATTGCACTTTAGGATTATTAATGGATGCTTTCAACTCTTTCCTTCTTTTGAGACATGTCTTTTCAGAAAATGGAGGTCCTGACAGTGTTGCTTCTCCAAGTCATCAGGTAAAACTCTACTCTGTGGAGGCAGCTTTCCCCAGACAGATTTTGAGCGCCTTGCAATCAGGGAGTTTCATCTTTGGACACTAGCTCAGGCAATCTTCTGCTGTTTCCCCAAAAGCTTGTCCAGACTCGTCCTTCAGTTACGGGCTGCCTCTTCCTTCTTTCTCATCTAGTCTTAATCTGGAATCTCTGCTGATTGAGATCACTGTGGCATAGCTTTCCATATCAGAGCAACCCACAAGACACCACAGTACAACACACGTACGGATAAATGCCGGAAATAAAGATAGCAATGGAAAGAATGGGTGTAAACTGGAAACCCACAAAATAAAAAATAGAGTGATGATAGGAAACATGATTAACAATGACAAAAAATGATAATTAAAATAACACAATGTCTATTTGTAACTTAGAAAAAAGGAAGATTTTTCAATGAGTACTGATGTATTAACTATGTATTTATATGAATAAAACCAACAAATTGTTAAAAGAAAGAAGAAACAAAGAGAAAAGAAGAAGAAAACAAAACAAAATCCTTTATAGCCAAAGGCAAGGTAATGATTTATTTAACAAAATGAAAATATGAAAAGGAAAAGGAAATCTGAATTGACCCATTGGACTCCAGAAAACTAAAATAAAGATAGTTCCATCTAAAATTCAAAATATATAATCTAAAACCAAAAATATGTGCCTTAATAGACTCTAAAGAAAGAAAACAAATATGTTCTTGCAATGTCAAATACTTTACAAAATATCAAAAAACTAAAAAACATTGAAATGTTCAATGACGAAAAATTGCATGGTGAAAAACTGTCATGTCCATATAATCAAATTATGGTGACTGAATAAGATCAGCAAAATTAAAATAAAGTACAATTTCATGAGTATTGGTCTTTTGAAAATGTAAATTAAATAATAGTTACAGAAATTAGACAAATAACATAAATGTAGATATAATTTATTGTAATGAAATGTATTACAAGAAAACTATAATAACAGAGGATGTTTATTTTTCCTTTTTTAGTAAAACACATTTAAATTTTTATTAAAATTGAGCAAATATGATTGAATACTATAAAAGCAATCAAGTTCAGTTTTTATAATATATTTGAAAATATTAAAACTTTAGTTAAAACAGTTACTTTTAAGTAGTTTAATATTTGAAAAATCAATTTTCTTATTTCCCAGATTGTTTATGTAGTCAGTCTATAATAAATTTGGGAACAACATCAATATCAGAGGTTGTACATAGATTCCTGGAAACATTCTTTGAAGAACAAGCTCTTTTAGCCTGTTTAATTAAGAGATACTATGCAATTTTCTGTTGATTCTTAGTCTAAACACACTCCAGAAAATTAAACACACTGAATAAACCAGTATATAAGCCAATAAAGTGAAAGAAGCAGTGAGTCTGTTAATAAAATAATCAGTGTGTGAACGAGTATTCAATATGTTTTATTTTTCAGTATGGTAAAGCATTCCAATACTAAGAATTGCAAAATTCATTAATACTACAATAGCCAATCTTTTGTTTTTTATTTCTACCTAGTTGAAATAGAGAGCTAAAATTTTAAATAAAAAAATATATATGTGGACATTGCATAATTTTTGGCACTTTGTTCTTTTATTTCTTTATAAATTTGAATTAAAAAGTTTTATTTAAATCTGGTAACAGCAACCCTATAAAGCAGATACTTTGCTTTATTAATTTTGTAAATAATAATATTCTGCAATTTTTAAGAATCTGAATCTTTTTATTTAATGAAACAAACAGTATGTATAAGCTTGGATGAAATTCACAGAATTAATTACTGCTGATCATAACAACAACAACAAAACCTGCAATGCTGTCACACCTATTCCGAGTCATTGAGAAACTACCAGATGGAGCAGAAAAGCCCTATGGGATTTATGTTGTCACCTGCTTGGTCCCTGCTCTGTCTCAGCCTGGCTGCTCTGCTGCCTCTGTAATTTCAGGCACAGGTTTCATGTATACTCCATAAATTCTTCTCTTGATGGCCATGGGAACTGATGTTTCTACTTTTGAGATTGGTCTGTTCTACCCAAAGGAATGGTAAAACTGACCAATTCCTTTTATTAGTGTTTCACAGACCTTATTTGTGAGGTAAATATTTTTTGAGAGGTACAATTATTTGAGAGGTACAGACACATGGACTGATGAATCATATTGAAGCAGTCTCACATCACCACACTGTTGTATCATCTTTCTTTGAAATGGGCATTTATGTAATTTCTTCAGAAAATATATTCTAAATATATTCTCAAAAAAAAATTCATTTGCTTCACAATCACCACCAAATATTACACCAATATCCCCCAAACAACACCAAACTCACCGCTGTTCAGTCAATCATGACCCATTCCACCCATACAGGACAAGACAGAACTGCCTGGAATAGGGTGTACTGAAAATTCTCTAACAGAATCATTTTATCAATAAGAATGATTTTACAGTCGCAGTAAGTCTATTATGCCTTAGCTATCTAAAACAGCCTAACACATTTTTGACTCATGAGTATTTATTCAAATTTAGGTTAAATATTTTATATTTTTATATCTTATATAATAAATGGTTCTTTAATTTAAAAAAATGCCCTGTTACCTACTAAGAACTTCATTTACATTAGTCTTCACACTTCCTAAATTTCACAGTCATTTGAATAATTTTATTAATTTTAACAACTATCCTTATAGATCCTGCTTCCAGACAATAAACACTAGTAAAGTCGTATAAGCTGTTATAGTTCAATATGTTGAAAATATCACTTCAGATTTCTTACCTTAGAAGGTTAAAGTAATTAGCGCAGGCAATGAGAAGTAAGACATACTACTTTTGTTAGGCATAGTAATAAACAGGAGAATGACACAAGGGAAAAGCCTAAAGAGTTGTTAACTAATTATTGATAACTAGTACAGTTCAGATGAAGATGTATTTTAGGTGAAACATTGCTAAAGAAAAAATAACAATTTTCATAATAAGCAATGACAATACTGTTAAGCCTGTAGTGCTGTAAATGCCCCTTAATATCCACTAGGTGTCTCTAATGACTTTGAAAGTTTTAAAGGTTATGCATTAAATATTGAAATGTGAATTGTATATACATTTTGATCATCTTACATAAATTCATATTATTCAAAGCAGCAAAAACTATTTCGGTAATCATATAAAAGAAAATAACTTACATTCAATGTCAAGGTACATGCTTTTTTGGTGCCCTCCAATTCTGCTTGCAGCTTCACAATCATATCTCCCTGAATCTGACAACTTCACATCTTTAATGTGCAATGATGAGCTCCCATGCTGCCCTTTGACTTCAATACGGCCATCAGGGCTCTGTTACATAGATTCAGGAAACAGAAAGATTTCATACTTGATTTGTGAAAAACCACGACCAAACACATCATTCTTATCAAATGTTTAGTAAATGAAAATAAACTCTTCCCTGTATTAAAAATCAAAAATAAATACCCAAAAGTAATGTCTCCATATTTCTGAATACCTATTTTTGTTATTAATTTTATATCCTGATTAGTATTATATGAGGCTTACAATAAAACTGACATCTAGAAAAACTTTAAAACATTCTTTCATTAGTCATTTTATTTAGTTGGTTCCTTTCTTCATGAAAAACTTGCATGTTCTTCTTTGAAAAATCTTATTGGCTTCCAGTTATGTGACTTACAGACATAACACAACAGCAATGCTTGTTCAATTCTGGTTAAAGCCTATCAATGAATGCACTACTCCTGCAGTATACATTCATTTTTCACCATCTAGAAAAAATAAATGGCATCAAGATGTATAATAAATAAATACTTTAAGAGACTTTTGATTTTTGATTTTCATTTCATTTTCCAATTCACTAGTATTGCTTGGAAGCATAATTTTCATTTTAAGCGTACTGTGTTTATCATTAATTATATTCTTAGCACAAATTAAGTCATTTTCAGGAACAATGTGAGAATATGGACAATATGGGATTGATTAATTACTTACTCCAAACATATTAACATAAGTCAAGAAATCACATGTAAAACTAAGACTACTAGTGGTAAATCTCATATGCAATATAATTAGTATACCTAGATGTGTGGTTTTTTAAATCATATAAATTCCTTCATTGCATGCATATTAAAACATGCAAGCATAGTCAATTTGTTAGGTTTTAATTTGACAATCAGAAAATATAATTTCTTAACATTATTTTAATTTAGATGAAACACTGTTTCTATTATTATCTCAAAAACAGTATGGAACAGCTCTATTCCATCCTACAGGGCTGCCAGGGGTCATAATGGACTCGTGGATAATTGACCTGATTTTCTTAAGTATTTGAGGTTTGAGTGTTGCTAAAATATTTGATGTCAAGCATTTTATAAAACCTGTTATTACATTTAAAAATTGTTAATTTTTTAAAATCAATTTATTGGGGCTCATACAATTCATCACAATACATAGGTCAATTGTGTAGAGCACATCTATACATCTGTTGCCCTCATCATTCGCAAAATTCACTTGCCTCTTGGGTTCCCGGATAACTGAAATTCATAGGCATTTAATTTTTTTGGTTTATTCATGTTAAAAACATAATAAAACTTAGTTTTCCATTTTAATTATCTAATTGTTTTCCTTAATCCAAACATTTTCTTCTTTTTCCCACACATAATGTGGATTAGAACACAATAAGATTGCCCTTTTGATATTTTTTAAAGATTCACATAAGCAATGTAGTTCCTATACAATTTCACCTAGACCTTCAAGTTATCTACTATAAGAAAATGTTTGCTTTAGAAATTAACAATAATTTACTAGAAATGTATTATTACATCATAGATAATAATGTCTAGGCTGAAATCATACTACACTAATACCCAGGGATTGCTACAATGATATTTAGGAGACATTTCCAAGAGGAAGGAAATTCTCTTCTGCCAAAATTCAGTATGTTCAATTACGAGGCACATTCCATTGATTAAGAGAAAATAAATTTAAAAGGAATGACTCACAGAAGTGACAATCAGGGGAAAAAAGCAAGGTAGCCAATACATTATATGAGGACTGCTAATCTTAGGAACCTCAATGAATCTTTATAAGAATTAGGCACTTTTTAATTTCATTCCTTCTTTTATGTAGTGATTTCCCTTGGCTTCCCTGATAGTTGTACTCTCCTGATTTTCCTGCCAGCTTTGCCTTTCTGAGAATCGTAGCCTCTCTCAGATTCTCTGTCTGTAGTGTCCCCTAGTATTCCTCTCAGGACCTCAATGTGACACTGTTCTGTTTTCAGCCAATATACTCCACTTGGACAGTCTCATACCCAGCCACATTGAAGTGGGTGATTTTTAATCACGCTTTCTTTTCCTGGAGGTTCATAACCAAATAATTTACTTCTAGGACATAGTTACAAGATATACTCAATACCCTAGCACAAAACTTAATCTGTTCCTTCCTAGTGTTCCCTCTCCGAATGCATAATACCAATTATTTTCTTTAACCATGATACACCATGTGCTCTGGATTGACCAGTTTGTGTAACAACCTTTCTTCCCACCTCCCCTCCTGCTCCCTCTTTTCTTGTTTATCCTACTTGTGGAGAGATCCCCTTCCTTCCTTCAGTGTGCCTTCCTTCCTTCCTTCCTTCCTTCCTTCCTTCCTTCCTTCCTTCCTTCCTTTTTGGAATGCTGAAAATTCTCAGTCTATCATCTTGTTTAATGTTGTTATTATCATTATTTTCATTTTAAGCAACTCTTTCTGCAGAACTCTCCGCTGAATGCCTCTCCTATGCACAGGCTCAAGTTATACTGCTGAGTTTAAAGGCTATGGACAGGCTGCTCTGTAATTCAGAGGGAAAATTTACACATCTAGGCTGACTGTGACTACAAAAAGAAAGGCCTCTTTAGTACAAATGTTACTAAATGTATTTACATATATTTTTAGGCTGGTTTAGCAAAAATTACTGCAGCTGCAAATATTACTTCTTGGACAGCTAAGAGATTTTTGTTCTAAAAGCACATGTTTACTTGTCCTAACAATTTCATGAAACTATGGTACCTCTTGTCTTTTTAATGATCATTTTGTTTCTTTATGAATCATAGTCTTGATGTCCTCCACAGCTAGGTTGTATGTCATTAGTGTTCAAAGCATTAAATCTAAAGACATTAGTAGATTTCTTCAATTTCTTCATCACTAGCTTTAGTGGTTTGAGATAGTTGATGTTTATTGTGCCAATCTGGCGGATAACAAATGTGGGATTAATTGAAGGGCTGAGAGATAAATGGCTCAGTGAGTCTCACCTTTCTAGTTCTTGGGTCTCTTGCTTTCTGATGGTCAGACCAGGGTGCAGCTGCCTTAAGCAGTTCCCTGCTTCAGCTGGCAATGCTCACTTCCTGCAAGACATCCCTGAGGAGAAGCCACATGGACCTAACCCGATGCAGCCGTGGGTGCTGGAGCAGCCATGTGGAGACCCCTGCCAGTGCTGAGATGCTCACACATTCACTATTATGTTTTCCTCCTGAAGTCGGTGTTATTGTGTGTGTTTTGTGAGATGGAGGAGGACTTTGTGGATTGGTGTCGGACATATTGGCTAATGTGGGACTTGTAGGCTTGGGCAGCACTGAGTTGGGATGTTCTCTTGATGTGCACTTAGTCTTGATGTAAAACTCTCTCTTACACATATGAGTTTCTGTGGATTTGTTTCCTAAAGTACTAGCACAAGTTGAAGCATACATTTGAATAATAGCTGTATTGATTGGGTTTCCTTGAAGGTGTATAGCTTAATTCAATCACAGGCAGCATTGCACTCCAAAATTCATATTGAAATTGAATAACAATGGAGAAGTTCAATATCGGCAGCTAAACCCAGACAAGAGTCTGTGGGACAATTAGTTGCTCATATCTAGGTTAAATTTAAAGCTGAAAAAAAATAAAATAAGCTCACAAGAGCCAAAATATAACTTCGAGTCTATCCCAACTGAATTTTGATAACAAATAGATTTGATGCATTGAAGGCTAATGAAAGAAAACCTGAGCTATGGGAGGACAAGACCATCATTCATGAAGAAAGCAAATGATCACTAAAAACATAGTAAAGAAAGAAATAAAAGTGGATTTAAGAAGAGCCTCTGAAAGTAGCTAAAGTAAATTGAAGATAGAATGAAGTCGAGGAGCTAAATAGAAAATGTCAAAGGGCTGCTTGAGAAGACAGTCAAATAGTATAATGAAATCTGTATAGAATTAGAATTAGATAACCACAAAAGCATGCTCAGAATATCTTAAACTAAAATAACTAAAGAAAAAATGCAAGCCATGAGTTGCAATATCAAAAGATTCTATGGGCAATATATCAAATTGATGCAGGCAGCATCAGAAGACTGTAGAAATAATACACAGAGCCACTGTACCAAAAAGAATTGATAGACTTTCCACTCTTTCAGGAGGTATTATATCAAGAGAAACCAATGGTTATGAAGTAAAAAGTTTAAGTTATACTAAAGGTATTAACCAAAACACCAGGGCCCCAAGGATTGATGGGATACCAATGGAAATGTTTCAATAAGATGATGAAACACTGGGAGAACTTGCTCATTTAAGTCAGGAAAATTGGAAGACAGGTACTTGACTAACTGAATGGAAGAGATCCATATGTATAGAAATTCCAAAGAAAACTGATCCAACAAAATGCTCAAATTCTGGAACAATATTATTAATCTCACATGCAGGTGAAATTTTGCTAAAGATCATCCAACAAGGGTTGTAGCAGGTCATTGACTTGGAGCTGCCAGAGATTCCAAAGAGAACATGGAACAAGGAATATCGTTGCTGATGTCAGATAGCTCTTGGATGAGAGAAGAGCATACCAGAAATAAATGCACTTGTGGTTCATTGACTATACAAAGGCAGCTGACTGTGTGGGTCATAAAAAACAACAACAACAACCATGGAGAGCCTTGCGACAAATGAGAGTCCCAGACCCTGCACTGGACTCACGCTGAACTTGTGCAGGAGACAGCAGGCAGTTGTGTGAACAGAACAAGTGCATGCTGCATGTTTTTTAAAAAAGGAACGGTGGTGTCAGGGCTGTATGTTCTGTGTCTTCAATCTCATACAGCCTGAGAAAATACTCAGAGATGCTAGATTATATGAAGAAGAACATGACATGAAGCTTGGAGGAAGAGTTTTTGAGAACCAGCAATATGCAGAATATTTAACCTTGCTTGCTGAAAGTGAGGAGGCTTGAAGCATTTGCTTTTGAAGATAAAAAATTGTAGCTTTCTGATCTGATTTCCAAATTTTTCTGTTTGATTTTTGTTTGTCCAAATGAGGGTGAATCTCAGAGG